TGTAGGGAAGCAATATTCTTGAAGGTTCACACAGTTTACTTTTAATTTTTGGATTGAATTATATTTCATTAAAAACATTGTTAGACCAGCCATTCTTCTGCCTATACTATGGTTTTTTGAACTCATTAGTACAGCAGAAGTTTTTTTCATAATATCTCTCTTTGTGTCAGCCTACACATTACGGACACATGGGGGAACACGTGTATATAATGAAAATCAACTTGCTGCCGCAAAATACTTAGAATTACAAAATTCCTTTCACACAAACTTCATTTAACATTATCACTATCTGACCCATCCTCCATCAACGAACCACACTGATTACTGCACGAGCACTCAGAGATCAGTCTGCCCATTACTTACAAGCTGACCTCATTCCAATTCAGGCAATAATGAACAAGTGAGTTTATAAGATGCACAAAGCCTCAAAATGCTTTTATGAATGTGGTGAATTCTATCCTCTAAGAGAAACATTCAGAAAGCAATCACATGGAGTAGAGGATACATTGCAGCGGCAGAGAGTGAGTAAATCACTTTTTTTGGGCCTTGCCTGAATAATCTCACACAGCATTTCTGAGTAAATCAGGAATTTTGCTCTGAGTTTCTATACAGGTAGGATGTAACCTGAACATCCTTTCACATATAGATGTAATGGTAGCGAATGCCTAAGCATATAAAAAGAGAATATAAAAACCTTACAGGCTTTTACAGACATCCAACTCATATGGCCACTTCACACATGCAACAGTCTGATAATAGTAATTTTGCTCTCCCAATCTATGCTTTGTGAGTAGTAAGCTACTCTGCGTTCCTAACAAAGTTCCTCCTCCTTTTGCCTAATCAGCTTTTCTTTTTTTTCCTTTCTCTTGAAATTCATGCCCTTAAACCCAAACACACACCTCTCTCTTTTCCTTCAACAATATCCTCAACCTCAGCTACAGAAGCTACTGTCCTTCGTGGGGTTTGTTTTGTTTTGAAATAGATTTTACGGCCTTTGCAGGGAATGCACCTTATCTGTTAATTTTTTTATGTCATTGACCAAACCATAGTCAAACTGGGCCCTCTGTTGGTAGGAGACAATAAAGTCTAATGTTAAGTGACTTTCCTATCAATTCACTCTCTTCATTTCAGACAACAATATGTCTAAAATAGGCAGGAAATAAAAGGAAACTGAATATCTTTATGTCTTAAATAGAGACAAAAGGTCGGTTTATATGAAGTCTTACATGATGTTCTTAAACATTCACTGTTTGATCTGTTTAACTTACTTGAACTGAAGAACTGTTTCTCAGGAAGTTCCAGTTTATTTGAATGAAATGCCCACATAAGTAAACTAAGTCTATGAAGGCTACAAGAATACCTGTGATCAAAACCACAAGCACTTCAAATGGTCAAAACACCCTCCTTTCCAGGATGCAAGAGGCTCTGGGGAGGAAGGGACTTTTCCAGTGTGAGTGAAGCCCTAATTAAAGTAACGTGAAGAAAAGAATACATGATTTATTCTGATTTTCAGAGAGATTTGAGAGGAATGCTGAGGCAGAAAATTCAGTAGTTTCTGCAGCCCTATTTCAAGTTCAAAGCCAGCTAACTCTGTATGAATTAGAAGATGTCAGCTCTAAATTCACATATTCCTTGATTTTAACATCAGAAAACCACTGTGATCCTCTAGTTTGTACTTTTGCATAAACTGACTCTAAAGGCTGCAATTCCACTGAAGCGGGTTGGTCAACAATGAGGCTATTTTCTGATAGCCCTATGGAATTTGGAGTGTTTGGCAGAGCTGCCAAAGGAAGAGCCATCCTGTTTTTTCCCTGTCCTTCTTGTGTTAGCTGGTTCCTAAAGAAACTAGATATATTTTCTTGATAGGTGACTGACAGTTTTCATACTTCAT